TATATATATATATATATATATATATTGCTGTTGTTGACGTATGCCTGTTTAGGCAGAGGGGGTGCGATTGTTCTTCCAGTGGAGCCATCTATGGCCAAGAATTTGACTTCTGCTACACCATACGTCACACCCGATTATAGGGCGGACCCATTCATTCATCCACAGATCGTAGTTTTGACCTGAATCAGAGAACGATCGATCTCCACTCAAGAACTCCCAGAGGTATTGATTTGTTATAGGAACATGGAGGACTTTTGCGACTCTACAGATTTACTACACGGGGAGTCTTCGGCCGGCGGGGTTGGGACCCACGAACTCTCGGACATGGGCCCAGCACCCTACCGACCAGACTATCCCAGCTGAAATATGTATGTTATATGTATTATATATATGTGTACGGTTAAGGGAAAAAACAATGATGAAGATGACAATTAACTAGGATGATGATGAGCGGAGCCTCCTAATTATAATAAAAATGGCTAAAAATGCGCAAAAGAAATTTCAGACAAAACTTGGGATTATCTTCACATTTACGCATTAAACTTCTGATTTCAGTACAGTATCTTTTATATATAACAAGATAAGAAGTGTGATTGACTGACTAGGGATTCAATGCACTTTTACGATAAAAAAAATTTTTTTTTTGACACGAAATTTTACACGAAGATAAATTATGAATAGATAAGTTGGGTCGTACTTTGAAACCCGATTTTTGGTAAATTTGAATAAGAAAGTTTTTTTTATGATTTTTTTCTTTTCTTTATTTTTCTTTATTTATTTTTTTGCTACATACCACGATTTACTAATCGAGGCCAATCGAGTTCAAACTATGCTTCCTAGAATTTATATATTTCTTGTGTTGTAAAGTATATCATTTTCCGCATCGTGGAACAGCAAAGCGGGGAGCTCGTACTGATTGATCGAATCTGTGTCGCCGCATCATAAGCTTCATTTTGCTAGTTTTCTTTTTCCATGCTCGGTATTTATTAAAAATATTTTTCGCTTAACTCTATTAATCTTTTTTTAAAAAAACAAATCAAAGACTTAAATTTTTTTTTTCATTTTTAAATTCATTCAATTTTTTAACTAGTTATATATTTACTTATTTGGTTTAGAAGGAACAAACAAATTTCTTTTTCGAATTCTAAATAATTTTGAATCTTCCCTAATTCCTCCATTTGATATTCAAACACATATTTTTTTATTCGAGATACGAAATTTTTTAAATAAAAATTTACTGCCGGCCAGGTGGCCGAGTGGTTAGCTCGCCTGACTGTCAAGCCAATGGCCGCGGGTTCAAATCCGGCTCTGGGCATGGATGTTTCTCTCTCTTGTGTTGTCCTCTGTTGTGTGTGATGTGTGAATGTGGCCCACCCTATGAGCGGGTTTGTGGCAGTGTGGCGTGGGCAATGTTACTCGCCTCCGTGACTTTGGTTCACAGGTGCCCACTGGGTAACGCGAAATGAGTAACACCTCTGGCATCTTCTAAGGCGAAACGAATAAAGTTCAGTGCCTGCCATTCGAAAAAAAGAAATAAATAAATAAAATTTACTGCAATATGTAAACAATGCAACCCTAATTTTAATTAGGGTAAAAAAATGTGTATTAAGAAGACTTAGCGCAATAATTATCCATAACGTTTTATTCAAATTAATAACTACATCATTTCTGTACTTTCGGAGCTTGACAAACAGTAAGCCCTCCAGAGTTGCAGGGTACCGTTCTCCATTTTCCAGTTGATTGAGAAATGGCAACACATCCTCTATCCTCCGGATAATCACTTGGTTCTTTTTCATCCCAATTTAGAAACTCAAGAGTACTTCCGTCAACCCACATAAAAGATTCTAGAATAAAATATTTATACAAAGTGTTCTGTAATTGTCACTCTTAACATACTATGAACATTTTAAAAATCAGTGAATGAAAAAATTTATGCTTCAACTAATCAACAAGTGCTTAGAGAATCGGATTCCGGACCAGAGGCTCCGCTACTTAAGACCCACCGAGTACTCCGACAGACATTCGTCTGGAGGGGTGGCGGTGACTATGGTTACGAGGTATGATTATTTCAAGTAGGGGTGCGGGTTCCTCTTTAAGACTGGTTTTGGCGCGAGAAAATGAGATCTGTTTCTTCGGTCTATTGTGTTAGCTCTAGAGTGAAGAGAAATAAGTATTCGTATCTGAAACATCGTTTAGATCGTTCGATTTTTCTCTTTTTTAAAAAAGTCGGAATTTTAATAGCGGTAGCATCAAAAATTTGATATCATAATTTTTACATTTTTTACTGTTTTTTAAAAAGTATATATTATACAAAACAATAGCCCAAAACGATTTTTTTTATTTAATTTATTTTACAAGATATTTACAATTAAATTTCAAAGCTTTTTTTAATTAAAAAATAAATATCTAAGAATAGAATGAATGGATTTAAAAAAAAAATGTATCTCATTTTACGCGGAAATAATTGAAGTTCTTTATAAAATAATTATAATAAAACAAATGTTTAAAAAATTTAATTTTTATTGCAAAATTAAGTTGTAAAATGAAAAACAAAAATGTTGTTAATGTCGTTCAAAGTTCAAACAAAACCCATTTTAAAGTAAATTTTATTCTGAACAAAATGGCTTTTCAAAAAAAAAAAATGGATCGCAATTCTATAAAAAGTTATAGCTTATTACGCGAAACACTGCACCGCTGCGCGCTCTGCCACTCCACTTTGCTGATCGCTCAATTGCACTGTATCAGTTGATTTGGAGGGAATTTAAAAACCTGAACTAAAGTTTCACAAAATAACAAACATTATATAAAATAATAAATTTATAATTTTAGGTGAATAATATTATGAATAATTAGTTATTTATAATTTATTTACATAATTTTTTGAGTTGAAACTTGGAACTAGAAGAATATATTTTATTTATAACTATTTTGTCAAGAACTTCCTCGTAAAATGAGATACAATTATTTAAAATCCATTTATTATATCCTTAGATATTTATTTTTTAATTAAAAAGAACTTCAAAATTTAATTGTTAACATCTTGTAAAATTAATTAGATAAAAAAAAATCGTTTTGGGCTATTGTTTTGTATAATATATACTTTTCACAAAACAACAAAAAATGTAAAAATTATGATATCAAATTTTGGGTGAACCGCTATTAAAATTTTGACTCAATGACAATTTAAAATTATTATTTCTATGTAATGATTGATAAATAGGATATGTATGGAAATTGTATAAAATTGTTTAAAGCAAGCTCAATGTTTTATTAATAAATAACTCATCTATAACTTTATCATACGTAGTAAATTGGTTATTAAGAAAAAAAATGAAAATATAATTTTGATAATAAAAAACTGTTAGACTTTTTTTTTAATAAATAGTGAGAAAAACTATACAGGTTACATTAAAATACAGGTAAGAAAACGTAATTTAAGCAACAAAAAAAACTTAGATAATTTCAGATGGTTTGATGGGTGCAGATAAAATTCATCGTTGATAGTTTTAGATTTCATCCTATATGCGGTAACTTGCTTTCAGTTTAAAAAATAAATAAATAATAAGAACAAAGATATTTAATATTTTTTCGGCACAGATAACGTGAACTATTTCTATTTTCAGCAAAAGTTTTATCTCCTTTTAAAATCAGAGTTAATAAGTTTAAGCACTTCACTTTTTCCAGAAAACTCAAATAATAAAAGAAATTAACTGTTTTAAAAAATGTGCAAGTTTAGAAATTAAACCATCTGACAATCAATGAACATTCATAATAAATATCGTAAAATTAAAAAAACCTGTACTACCCTTAATATCAGAATTTGTTCACTTTTTTTCCTTTGTATTTAAAAAATAACAACTGATTGAGTAGAGAGAATCATTTCAAGTAAGAAAGAAATATTCATGCGAATCGTAAAAAAGTTATTGAATCAGATTAAATTAGTCTCCTACTGGTGGCTGAGTCAGCCAATCTGGTATACTTCCCATACAAGCTATCATCGAAGCTACCCTCCCTAAAATGCCCTCTTCTTGTTTCTATAGCACCAGACTGTCGCAGACTTTGTGGCGGTCAGAGTACCTATCGTAGACAAACAGTAGAAATCCTGTGGTTGGTCACTGAGCCAAACAAGGATATGGAGAAAAATTTCCTTCCCTTTCTCTATTGAGGAAGTTTACTCATAAATGAGATCACCTCTGCCAATACCTCCTAGAAGGGAAGAAAGCGGAAGGACGCAAAACGATGACTCATACAGTTAGGCCCAGATTTGATGATCACTTCTGACGATGACGGGTTTTTTTTTCCTTCTGTTTCGCGGCACTTTTTCGTTACTCTTCCACTAATTTTTTACTGTCTACAAATTATTAAAATTTTTTTTTTGTCTAGATTAAATGTTTTTAAATTGTGTAAAAATGCTTAATATATATATTTTTTTTTTCAGAAATGATTAACAATAAATCAATTCTAACAAAAGTAACTGCTGTGTGAATGAAAAAAATATATTTTTAAGCATTAAAAACCAGTTTTATTTTATAAATTGGAAAATTTTATCTAACTTTTTGTTATAAAATGTATAGATTAAAAACAAAGAAATATATTTTTAAAGGGATTTTACACATTTATTATTATTATAGTTTTGACATAAAACTGAGAAAGGGGTCTAATTTTTATAATATGATACTTACATTTTTAGTAGATGATTATTTTGGATTTTAATGATTATGTTTTGCATGTTATTAGAACTAGAGCATACGTAATAAAATGGAAATTGTTTATAAACAATGACATAAAATGAGCTTAGGAAACTTTAGAAAATCAAATGCAGTCTTCAAGGTTTAGATAGAAAAAAAAAACATATCAAAAGCATGATTATAATTTGTATTTTTTTCCTATGGAAGTGTGATTGTTAGAAGTGATAAACTAAAATTAAAGTAAGCAACCTTAGATAACAAATATTTTATTAAATAGCAAATTCAAAAAATGATAAATAAAATGTAAACACAAATTTTACTGAAACTTTCAGCAACATTTAAAAAAGAATAATTTTTACCCATCACACTTGTCCGCGCATGCGCGTACTGTTACGAGCGCTTTTGCAGGGCAGATGATGTTGTCATGTTTAAGAGAACGGCAGCTTTCTCTTTGCGGGAATTTTCCCCAATATCTACCTTTACCTTTTCTATGTCATGTTTGTGTCTAAATAAACTAATGAAAAGACATATGGTCCGTCATTTATTTACAGTTTAATGTACGAATAACTTACATCATCTCTCGATATCTCTAATATCTTAAACATAAGTGGTCCGTCGATTACGAGACGTACCAACAAAGCCTATGGAGAAATTAAATCGTTCGAAGGGAGCTATCAAATGCTCGATAACGAAATTTGAAATCGGATATATCAGTAAGTTAATCGGATATATCAGTAAGTTGATCGGATATATCAGTAAGTGAACTAGAAGTGAAATTGAAAAAAGTTGAAACGCTTCAAAATCGCCTTTACCATATCCGTGAACAATACTATGACTTACCGAACTTTAATGAGATTCCAGACGTCGAAAATGACTTGGAAGATACTGAATCAAGACTGGAAAATTTGGAGGTAAAATTCAGACTATTTATTGATTCAATTAAGAATGTAAACTGCTCTAATGTTTTTGCATCAGAATGTTCGGAAACAAAAACTGAATCAAAAGTAAAGGTTAAGTTACCCGAAATACCACTTCCTGTTTTTACTGGAAAGTATGAAGAGTGGTCTAATTTCAAAACTCAATTTGAACATGTAATTTCAAACAATGAACAGTTAAATGATGCCCAAAAACTGTATTATTTGCGCGCTTCTTTAAGTGCCGAAGCTAAACAACTAGAAAGTGCTGATGATTCATTTGAATCCTTATTTACAGCACTAACAGAGAGATTCGAAAATCATAGAATGCTAGTTGACACTCATTTAACTGCTATAATTAATTATGAGAAAATTCAACATGAATCTTCAAAGGAATTAAGAAAATTCTTAGACTGCGTAAACAAAAACTTACGAGCTTTAAAGGTCTTAAAATATGAGCAAAATAATCTTTCGGAAGCATTCCTAATAAATATTATCCTTCAAAAATTGGATAGGGAAACACGAAAATTATTCGAATACACAACTAAGAAAGCAGAATATCCGAAATTCACAGAATAAATGTCATTTCTAGAAAGCAGAAGTTCAACTCTAGAAAGTGTAAATCAATGTTTGTGTGTCAAACCTTCTAACAAACACTCCCCTTATTTAAATAAATCTAAAACTTTTATGCTGAATTCAAATGATAAATCAAAACAAAAAACATGTGTTTTGTGTAAAAATGCGCATCCTTTAAATAAATGTTCAAAGTTTCTTTCAATGAATGTTTCAGAAAGATATGATATGAATACGTAAAACAAAATAAACTTTGTTTTAACTGTTTTAAAAATCATCATGCGAAATTATGCTCTTCCAAATATAACTGTTTTTATTGCCCGTTACGTCATAACACACTTTTACATCGAAATGAGGAGATCAAACCGCGATGTGAAACTGAAACTAATAGTTGCGCCTCTCCACCGTTTGATTCATCGGTTGTTTTGACTGGCAAAGACCTTCAAGTGTCGCCGGACAGTTCAGAAACTAAACATTTCCAAACTCTGAGTAATGTAATGAAAGAGAAAAAATCTGTATTATTAAGTACGTGTTATATTTTCATTAAGGATTCTTACGGGATGCGCTACAAATTGCGCGCTGTTTTAGATAGCGGGAGTAATGTAAATATTTTGATGAATGAATGTGCTGATAAATTGGGTTTGATAAGACAAACGATTAACGTACCTGTAATGGGATTAAATGGAGCTACTCATAATATAAAAAATAAATCGAATACTGTTATTTCTAATGCAGATGAAACTTTTAAAGAAAGTTTAGAATTCTTGATTGTTCCTAAAATTACTGGGTTTATTCCATCAACTCAATTAGAAGTATCAAATATTGAATTGCCTCCTTTTATAGATTTTGCTGACCCTACATTTTTTAAACCAGGTAAAATTCTTGCTTTAATTGGGGCAGAACTGTTCTATAAGATTTTAAAACAAGCTTCACATAAGGTTAATGATAAACTTATTTCGCAAGATTCTGTTTTTGGATGGATACCAACAGGTGTTCTTGATGAAGTAATGCCGTCTAATGTTCATGCTCAGTGTCATTTGATTCGGGATTTTGAAGAATTAAACAATAATATAAAACAATTTTGGGAGTTAGAAGCTATTGGCATTAAACACGAAGATCCAAAACTTTCAGAAGAAGATAAGGCACAAGCAATTTTCGACGAAACTGTCAGGTTTATTGACAATCGTTACGAGGTTCAATTACCTTGGAAAAGGGATAATAAAGAACTAAAGGATAATTTTAATATTGCAAAACAACGTTTAGAGGGGTTACAAAGAAAGTTTTTTCGAAATCCTGAATTGTATATTCAATATTCTGAAATTATTAAGGATTATTTAAATCAGGGTATTATAGAGCCAGTGAAAGGAAACGAACCTATTTCAAATAAGCCCATTTATTTTCTACCTCACCATGCAGTTTGCAAGGAGGATAAACTCATAACAAAAGTTCGTATAGTGTTTGACGCAAGCTCACATGATAGTAACGAGTTATCACTCAATGACTATTTATGGCCTGGCCCAAATGTAAACCCCCTTCTGTTTGACATTTTAGTCCAGTTTAGACTAAATGAAATAGCCTTTACATCTGATATTGAGAAGGCTTTTTTACAAATATCCCTTGCTGAAAAGGATTGCGATGCAGTTCGCTTTCTGTGGTTTAATGAAGATTACAAATCACTTAGGAATTTAAAAACATTTAAGTTTAAGCGCGTTCTTTTCGGAGTGAACGCTTCACCATTTCTGTTATCAGCCACCATCAAACACCACATTGAGAAGTTTAGAGATGAATATCCCAAAACTGTTCAACTACTTGACCATTACATTTATGTTGATGATTTCATCTCAGGCGAAGATACCTTGCAGGAAGCTCTTGTAGTTTCTCTGAATGCTAAGAAAATTATGTCTGAAGCAAGAATGACTCTCCGAAAATGGGTTACGAATGATATAACTCTAAAGAAATGCTGGAAGGAAGAAGGTTTCGATATTCAAGAGGAATATGCAACCATTAGCTTGGGGAGTAATTTGACGAAGGTGTTAGGAATGGCGTGGAAAACAGAAGAGGATTGCCTTACCTTGGAAGTAAAGGGTCTCCTGGAATTTATTTCCTCTCCTGAAAACTCGAAGCGTCGCCTCTTACAAGCAGTTGGTAAAATTTTTGACCCGTTAGGAATGTTAACACCATTTACCATTCGTGTCAAATGTTTATTTCAAGAGCTGTGGATGAAGAAGGTACCGTGGGATG